TAATTTTGCAACTTACACATAAGTTAAATCCAAATTTTTATTGAAAATTTTCACTTGAATGAATTAAGTTATTCATATATTATAGTCTAAGGGTGCATTTGATTCAGGAAATATTGTATTATTGGAAAGATAGATTATTAGGTAATCTTTAGAGAAATATGTTTGGTTGGTTTGAATAAATTGGTGGATATGTTTTAATAATATGTTTGGTTGGGAGGATAAATGGGTGGATATGTTATGTAGATTACTAAATTGCTCTCTTTTTTATATAATAATATATTATTATTTTATTTTATTTTATATAACGGTGCCCATTTCATGACCAGATCTATGGCATTTCACGGCCACATCTTTGGCAATGAAATGGCTAGATCTGGTTGTTTTCGGCCATGGATTTGTGATCCATGGCCGGAAACGTCATTAACGGCACACGACTGGCAAGATCCCATTGGTCTTGCACCGATATGACGACTTTCATTGACGACCAACGGTGGTGGCTAGCGGCCAACGGTGGTCTTGGGTGGTTGGGGGTATTTTATTAACTTTTAAATTTTTTTGTAGTTGGGGTGTTCTAGCTAAATTCTCAATTATAAGGGGTCTGAGTAATTGTTATTTGGTAAACATATGAGGGCAAATGTGTCCGAAATGATAAAAAATTAAAGGTAAAATAGGGTCAAAATTAAGATTACCTCAATAATCTTATATTAACACCCCTTGGAAAGGTAATATGATTACCTTCAATATTACCAATAGTAAACACTAGGCTTCTATTATTTGCAATAAAAGATTACGTAATATTTTATTACTTGACAATCAAATAAGAAAATCTTAAAAATTAAACAAAGATTACAAGATTAATCTTATATTATTCTGAACCAAACGCAACTTAAGTATAATATACTCCACACCTTATGAAATTAGAATCGAACTGTCATGTTTAATTTCTGAAATGAAGAAATTAGTTGACAATAGTAAAGAGATGGTCACCTAATTCCAATTCCATCCATTTTTTCTAACTTGACCTCATTGACCATATTGTGAGTATAACTCAGATAATATTTCTCTCTAAAAAGTAAGTCAAAAAGTTGAAGTTACACCATTTCATATTAGTGATGTTTTAATTGATTATGTAGGCAAATCATGTATAAATAATGTGAGCTCGTCTCTCAATTTCATAGAAAATATGAAGAACTAAATAATTTTGTAACTTATAGAATAATTTCAAATTAAAAAATAACTTCTAAATATCTTTTTTTGTTTTTCTTAAGTAGTCAGGATAAAAAGAATGAAAGATCTTATTCTATGGGTACTACATCAGAGAACCTAGATTTGGCTGTGCTAAATTGTATTTATTTCATCATACCAAAATCAAATGTTAAGAAAAATTACACATATAATTTTTTTTTTTTTTTTTTATTTGAGGACTTCGTAGCCCAATCATGGTTCTTAGCAGTAGTCTCTATAAAAATAATGAATTTAAAAAATAAAATCAAAAGAAATGAGGGAACTCATCGGTAACATTTGCTTTAGCTTTATGAAATGTAGTTATACTTCACTTTCAAATGCAAAATAGTTCGGTTTAGGATTATACAAATCAGAGAAGGAATCGTGTTCCTTACTTAGCTTTCCACTTTAACATTACAACGGTGGTGATGAACCCACCTGGCATGTTTGTCCGTTACACAATGCTACCAGAAAAAAATAAAACAAAAATCCTTTATAATTATTTTTTATGGTCCTTGAATTTATTAATTGTGACAAAGGGTGCCACCAATTCCCATACAAAAAAAAAAAAAAAAAAAAAAAAAAGTGCAAATAAATTGTTATTAATTATTTTGACTCTTGTCGCTAATACAGCATACAATTTGTTGATGCGTGATTTTGACACCAACTAATCGACACGTGTGCAACGTTGAATGGACAAGAGACGCATGTGAATACAGAAAGAAAAACAGTAAATGCAATGGAAGACTTTTTAAGTGGTTCGGATGCTAAGGTAGCAAATCCTACGTCCACTGATTTTTTTTTATTTTGTTGGTCAGGTCGTTTTAGCGTGCTGACTTACAAATGATTTGCTGAAAGTGAAAAGTGGAAAATACAAGAGAATAAGCTGTTTGTGAATTAAAATGGGCCAATCCTCTCAAAGGGAAAGTCTTCTCCTTTTTATAGGGGGATGAGCATGGGTAACCATCGCGAAATCCGTCGGTTGGTGTGGATGTCAGGGTAAATCATCCTTTATGTCAAATTGCTCACCTTTCAAACTGATTTTGCGTGATTTGGAGCAGGAAATTGACACGTGGGTTCCTCATAGCACCTGACGGGCCTGGCATTCACCCACCATTCTGACAGTGGCAGATCGTCCTCTTCCTCACGCGACCCTACGTCAGCTCTCGGTTCCCAGGCATAACAGAAGTCCCCTAGTTTTTAAGTTTCGAGGATCGAACCTTGGAAACTACGAGTCATGCCGGGATTGGGGATTTCTAAGAGGTCGTCTGTTCCGACCTGACTGAAATATGTTCATTAAAGGAACTTCAGCGAGCTCGTCGGGAAGCGACCTTCGCCATAAATGACCTGGTAGCCATTGTCCAAGCGTCCCGACCTAGGAGCGGGCCTTAGTTGACAGGTGTTTTGCGTGTGTCAGGTGTTTACCAGGCGCATTAAATGCGTTGTGTGCTGAAACGTTATCGCTTTGACAGAGCATTAATTGCGTGTCACGCTCGAAACATCAGCCTTTATTAAGGCATTTAATGTGGTGTGCGGTGCAATTAATGCGGGGAGAGAGAGAGAAGGGCGTCGTTCGAGTTCTTCAACGGAAAAATCTTAACCACCCTTAATTGCAAATCTCCTCCCCGTCGATCAATGACACGTGTCCGCGATCAAGGGTGTGAGATGGTTGCTGCCCAAGCGTCGCTTCGGTTCCGTGGAGCGGTAACCGCCGATTCGTCTCCATATAAGAACTCAAGTCTTCAGTTGAGGCCACCAAAGCATCCCTTGCTGCAAAAATGAGACCTTTGCAAACCAGAAACTTCCTTTCTCCGATTGGCGTTTCTCTGTCATCTGAAGCAAGAGTCGTTCACGGTTGTGCTTTTTGAAAAGGTGAAGTTCCCTCGTCTTTTTTCCTTTTGCATTGTTTTGTTTTGTTGGTGGTGTTGAGTCTCTTGATGCTTCATCGGAGACGTGACGCCGGAGTTGGGCTCGGGCTGCGAATGACGGTTCGAGCCATTGCTAGGATTTAGAGAACGCGGTCCTCGCCGCCGTATGGGGCAACCGTGCGATGACTTAAATGACCCGTCTGTCACTGTTGCAGACTGCGGGATGGAGCCCTCAGCGTCCAGGCCCGAAGAAGGAGCTGGCTCGTCCTCACGGGGTGTTCCTGCGGACGCGCCTCTTGATGTCTTCTCGGTCCTCACCCAAGAAGAGCTCAAGAGAGTCGTTAAGCAGTTCGGTGTCCGCGTGGAGTTATTCCTCGACACCACGAGGTCGTCGTGGCATCCGTCCAGTGGCCTAGCTGCGATCTCCGAAGAGATCTTTAAGGGTGGGGGGTTAATTCCTTTCCACCCTTTTATCAGGTCGGTCCTCGATCACTTCGGGATCGCACCGATGCAGCTAACATCGAACGCATATGTCATTGCGGTCGCGATGTACATCGCGTGTCGGGAAAACGATCTGGGCGAGCTGACAGCGGTGGAGCTCGGCTGCTCGTACTACCTCAAGAGGAGTAAGGACAAGGACTCCTACTACCTGTCTCGACGACCTACCACCGCCGGAGGGATACATGGCTATCCCAGCAACGCGGGGGCCCATGAGACGAAGTTCTTCTTCTTCTGCTATGACGGCCACTGTCAATTTCAAGACCCAAGTATGTTTCTTTTCGCTGAACTTATTGACTATGTTTCGCATTCTAACGACTTGCTTCCCTATGCAGTTAACAAAACAACCAGTCTAGTCCTGCTCACCGACCAAAATCGGATTGTCTCTTTCGGGTTCCTGTCGGAAGAAGCTCGTGACGCGAAGAAGCTCGTGACTATCGCGAACTTGCGGAAGTACGGTTTTTTCAACAAGGAGGCTTCTTTGGAGTCCCCAAAACGTAAGTCTCGCCGACTAACATTTCTGGTCGTGGAATATTTTTGCCATATTAGCTAACATGTTTGCGTACAGTGACCATGCCTCCAAAGGAATCCGAACAGTCCCGCCGGGCACCGTTCGTCTCTCCCCGATCGAAGAAGGCCAGGGCGGCGGAAGCTAGTCGCCCCATTCCGGCTCAGCCGGTGCGGGCTTCTGCACCACCGCAGCCCCGACCTGAGGAGACAGCAACCAGCACCGAACATGTTGCTCAGCAGTCGCCCCCTCAGCCATCGCCCGCTCGCCCAAGGCATAAGACGATGGCCCAGCGATCAAAGAAGAGAAAGCAAATCCGGGCCGAAGAGACTGAGACCGAATCCGAGGGTGATCAGCCCTTGAGGTCGCGCCGGGGGGTTGGAAGGAGGTCGGGCAAGGAGCCCGTCGAAGGGACGGCCGCAGTCGATAAGGCAAAGGGCACCCCGGTGTTGGATTCACTGGGGAATCTGCCCGAATACTTGCAGCCGGTGGTCTACTCCTTGCTCGAGTGCGGGCTGTCAGAGTCATACGACGAGTTCGCTGACACGGGCGACGTGGAACTTATGACAACATCGGTCCAACATCTGGGAAAGGTGAGCGAACCGTCTTTAAATGTAGAACTTCGCTAGCGATGTTTATTCTAACCTGCTCCTTGTTCGCAGGCTCTGCTGGCCATGAGGATATCCCTAGAGAAGGCGCAGCTAGGCGCCGCTAAAGGGGATAGCGACCTAAAAAGGAAGGTCGCAAGACTGAAGGAAGACTTGGAAGCCGTCGAGGTAGAAAGACAACTGTCTGTCGATGCAGGGAACAGATATCTGAACCAGAAGAACGCTGCTTTGCGCACTGTGGACTTCCAGAAAGCGGAGCTTGAGTGACGTGCCGAGGAGGTAAAGGAGCTCCAAATGACAACGGCTCGTCTTACCAAAGAGGTCGGAGAGAAGAACCAGGAGCTTCAGGCGACCTTTGAGCGGGCCCAGCGAGCTGAGCAGGAAGTGGAGGCTTCCGAGAAGAGGAGGCAAACTCTCAAGGCCGAGCTCCCGGAGAGCAAGGGTAAAGTTGCTTCCTTGACCGAGGAAGTGCGGGTCCAGGTAGAGGAGCTCGAGGACAGGGTCGTTGATTGGGCGATCGGGTCCATTTATACTTTGCGGCCTAAGAATCCAGATTTGGATATTTCCGACCTCCCGAAGGAGTGGCAGGAGAGTTTGCGAATATTGGAGACGGAAGATGATGAAGCGGCGGTGGCTGCTGCTCGAGGGCCCGATCAAGCAGGCAGCTCGGGGTAGGCTTCCGAAAAACCCCCGGCCGACCAGCCCTAGAGGTTGGGCTTTTAAGGGATTTTTGGGGCTGTTGATTTTGTAATTTTGTGTCCTTAATGAAAAATGACTTTTACAATTCCTGTTCGCTTTATCATACAAGCTTTGTAGTATAACTTGAAAACATATTTACATGGAAAATATAAGCGAACTGTTACAATGAACAGATAACGTTACAAAGAGTATTCCTTAAAATTACAAAAGTTAAGAGTTCCAGGATTACTGGTAGTATGGCCGGAGGTGCTCGGCATTCCAAACTCGGGGTACTTTGGAACCGTTCAATCTCTTGAGATGGTAAGTCCCCGGTCTGATCACCTTGTCAACCCGGTACGGTCCTTCCCAGTTAGGTCCTAGTACCCCCGCACTTGGCTCTCTGGTCCCAAGGAAACTTCCTTTAGCACAAGGTCTCCGACCTGGAAGTCTCTTCGCTTGACCTTTGAATCGAAAAACCTCTTTGCACGCTGCTGGTAGGCTGCTATCCTTAGCGAAGCCTTGCTGCGATGCTCTTCAATGAGGTCCAAACTTGCCCTCATAAGTGCTTCGTTTTCAACCTCATCGTACAAGTCCCTCCGAAGAGAACCAGTTCCCACCTCTACAGGAATCATTGCTTCGCAGCCATAGGCTAGCGAAAAAGGGATTTCTGAGGTAGAGGTTCTTGGGGTTGTCTTGTACGCCCATAAGACTTCGGGGAGATCATCAGCCCAATTTCCTTTGGCTGCCGCGAGTTTAGCCTTTAGAGTGTGCTTGATGGTCTTGTTGACAGCTTCAACTTGGCCATTTGCTTGCGGTCTGGCGACTGAGGCGAATTTTTTATGGATGCCCAACTCGTCGCAGAACTGCTTAAACTCCTCGTTATCGAACTGCTTCCCATTATCCGAGATGAGGGTATGGGGAATTCCGTAGCAGCACACTATGTTCTTGAAAACGAAGTCTTTCAGCTTTCTGGTCATGATCGCGGCTAGCGGTTCAGCTTCCACCCATTTTGTGAAATAATCTACCGCAACCACGGCATACTTGACCCTTCCCTTTCCAACTGGCATGGGACCGATAAGGTCGATCCCCCACATGGAAAATAGCCAGGGGCTGGTCATCGTTATTAGCTCGTGCGAGGGGGCTCGCGGAATGTTCGCGAACCGCTGGCACTTGTCACATTTCTTGACAAAATTGTGCGCATCTTCTTGGATCCGGGGCCAATAATATCCCTGACGAACAACCTTGTTCGCAAGAGATCGAGCAGCTGTGTGGTTACCGCAGATCCCTTCGTGAATTTCCCTCATAACGTAGTCTGCTTCTTCACTTGTTACACATCGGAGGAGAGGGGCACTGAATCCTCTCCTATACAGTTGGTCCCCAATGAGTGCGTAACGAGCAGATCTTGCTCGCAGGACCCTTGCCTCGACCTTGTCGTCTGGCAAGGTCCCATCTTTGAGGTACCGAAAAATGGGAGTCATCCAGGAATCCGGTTGAGTCACATTTACGGCCTGTTCGGCTGAGCTGATAGTTGGAGCATCCACGAAACGAACAGGAATGTTGACTGGAGCCTCTGAATCCAATGACGAGGCTATTTTTGCTAGGGCGTCCGCTATAGAGTTGCTATCTCTGGGGATATGAGTGATTTCAAAGCGTTTAAACGATCCGAGAGTGGTCTTAGCTTCTTTCAGGTAGCGGACCATGTTCTCTTCTTTGGCTTGGTATTCCCCTAAAATTTGGTTGACGACCAGCATGGAGTCGCTGTAAATGCTGATCGCGGTCGCACCCATTTCTTTGGCAAGTCGCAACCCGGCGAGCAGGGCTTCATACTCTGCCTCATTGTTGGTCGCCTTAAACCCGAACCGGAGAATACCATGAATTCGAGCCCCCTCGGGGCTTACAAGGAGAAGACCCGCACCGGCTCTTTTCCTGTTCGACGACCCGTCGACGTAGAGGTTCCAGGTCGACAGGTTCTGAATACTTTTCTGCACGACTTCGCTAGGCTGTTGCTCGCTCGGAAGATAGGAAAATTCTGAGATGAAGTCTGCGACAGCTTGCCCCTTAATGGTTGATCTGAGCTTGTACTTCAAGTCGAACTGGCTCAATTCCATGGCCCATTTGAGCAGTTTACTTGAGGCTTTCGGTTTCTGGAGGACCTGCCTGAGGGGGTAATTAGTCATTACGTTGATTGTATGGGCGTGAAAGTAAGGTCACAGCTTTCTGGATGCGATCAGCAGAGCAAAGGCTAGTCGCTCCATTTTCGGATATCGCATCTCGGCATCCGATAGATGCTTGCTTGCATAATACACTGGCCACTACGCCTTTTCCTCTTCTCGTACTAGAGCTGCACTGACCGCGAACTGGGAGACGGACAGGTAGATGAGCAGGATTTCCTGTGGAAGAGGCTTAGAGAGGAGAGGTGGCTTCCCTAAGTGTTCTTTTATACTCTGGAATGCCTGTTCGCATTCGGGAGTCCATTCGAATTTCTTGTTGGCCTTCAGAACATTGAAAAATGGTAAGTAGCGGTCTGTTAATCTCGATATGAAGCGACTAAGTGCCGCTATTCGCCCATTTAGGCTCATGACTTGCTTTTTGCTGGTCGGGCTCTCCATATCGAGCAGAGCTTGGATCTTCTCGGGGTTTACTTCTATGCCCCGCTGATTAACCATATACCCCAGGAACTTTCCTGGCGATACCCGAACGAACACTTGAGAGGGTTTAGCTTCATTCTGTACAGTCGGAGGATGTCAAACATCTCGGCGAGATGTGCAATGTGTTCTGAGGCGACCTGGGATTTGACCAGCATGTCGTCCACATAGACCTACATTGTCTTCCCGATCTGGTCGGAGAACATTCGGTTGACCAACCTTTATAGGTCGCGCCCACATTCTTGAGGCCGAAAGGCATAACTTTGTAACAGTATAGCCTCTGGTCCGTAATGAAGGATGTATGCTCCTCGTCCGACCCATACATCCGGATTTGGTTGTACCCCGAGTATGCATCCATAAAGCTTAGCAGCTCGTGCCCCGAGGTGGCATCAACGAGCTGGTTGATTCTCGACAAAGGGAAGCTGTCTTTCGGGCAAGCTTTATTAAGATCGCTGAAGTCAACGCAGGTCCGCCACTTGCCGTTTGGCTTCTTTACTAGGACTAGGTTGGCAACCCAGGTCGGGTATAGCGCCTCTCGGATGGACCCGTTTCGGAGGAGGTTTTCCACTTCTGATTTTAGTGCGGTGTACCGCTCTGGATCCATCGCTCTTCTTTTCTGGCGAACCGGTTTGGCTTCGCTGCTGACGTTTAATGAATGGCAAATAACGTCCGGGCTGATCCCGATCATATCTGCATGCGACCAGGCAAACACGTCAATGTTTTCCCTTAAGAAGCTTATCAGCTCGAAAGCGAGCTAAGGGTTGAGACAGCTTCCAATCCTTAACACTCAGCTCGGCTCTTTTGGATCAACCAAAATTTCAGACAGATCCTCAACCGGGCCACTAGGAGGGATTTCCTGGATTCGCGGATCTATGTTATCCTCTACTGGACCAAGCTGTGGCTCGATCCGACTGATCGCCATAGCCTGGCGAGGCACACATCACAAAATACCCTTTCCTTTGTCTGCCATCTGCACCGCTTTTACGTAGCATTCGCGAGATGCGCTTTGCGATCCGCTCACTTCCCCGATCCCCGTTGGAGTGGGGAACTTCATCTTGAGGTGATACATGGAAGTGACTGCCTTGAAGCTCCTCAACAGAGGTCGCCCCAAGATTCCATTAAAGGCCGATGGGCAGTCCACGACCAAAAATTTGGTAACCCTAGTCACCTCGTCGTAGTCACCGAGCGTGACTGGTAGCTGGATCGTTCCTTTGGGGATCAGGTGGTCCCCTGTAAAACCGTAAAGAGGTATCGAGGCGGGCTTCAGGTCAGCCTCGTCTAGGTTCATTCTATCGAAAGCAGTCTTGAACAAGATGTTCACAGCGCTTCCGTTGTCCACAAGCATTCTGCAGACATTATGGCACCCTATCAGGGGCGTGACCACCAGGGCGTCCTCGTGAGGATGGTGCAAGCGAGCTGCTTCCTTTTCGCAGAAGGTGATCAGCTCCTCCTTTCGAGCCTTTTGCGGTCGCTGCAAAGTGTTCATTACCCTGATCGGGTCGTGATATGCTTCACGAGCATACCTTTCCTGCGCACCTCGCGTGTTTCCCGCGAGTTGCGGGCCTCCGAAAATTATGTTAACACTACTGTACCTGCTGCGATCACGACGCTTTTTCTTCTGCTCCCCTTGGTTTTCTTTTGGAGAGTCGTCAATATACTCTTTGAAGTACCCTTTCTTGATGAGCTCCTCGATTGCCTGCTTTAGAGCTTGGCATTCATCAGTGTGATGCCCGTTGTCCCGATGGAAACGGCAGTATTTTTTGCTGTTTCTGGTCGTAGCAGGGGTTTTCATGGGTTCCGGTTCACCGAGCAGGCTGGCCTCCTCGGATTTGTCGAGAATTACAGATATGGACACGTTCAGCGGAGTGTATTAAGCTCTATCCCGGTCGCGACGAGGAACAGGATCATAAGACTTCTTGTGCTCGTAGCGGGGTTTCTTCCCTTTTCGCAGATCATCAATGTCTCCTTTGCGATCAGCTCTCCTATTTTCTCCCCGACCAGACACACTGCTTGAAGTGCCATGATCGCGACGGCGGAGTGCCGCCAATGAATTCTCTATCCGGAGATATTTTTCTGCAAGGTGGTAAAATCTGCAGTTCTTTCCACAGGTCGGTTTACGGGCGAACTCCAGCTATTATAAGCGTTCGGATGGACTCTTCTGGGGCATGAGCCACCTTGTTGAGTTCCCTGTAGAAACGGTCAATATAAGATTGCAGGGATTCGTCTCTTTCTTGCCTTATGTTGCTGAGGTAGCTCAAAGGCATTGAAAACTTCCGATTTGCTTGGAAATGCCGTAGGAACGTCGTGCTCATCTGAGACCACGAACAGATCGATCCCGCTGGGAGCGA